TTGAAAGCCCAAAAAAAGGCTAATATATTAAATAGAAAAAAAAAAGATATCGATACAATGCGTGGAAGGGCCCAAGCATGACATCCTGTACACACAAAAAATCACAAAATATTTCAGAACTAGAAAAAACAGAAAATACATTAGATACTAAAATAAAAAGCCTAACAGTGCCGAAATACATAATATCAGGTGGCTAGAGAGCGACCCAATTTTGTCTTGCCTCTGCCTCTAATTTTAAGATCTCTTTATATATCACACAGGTGTACATATATACATCTATATGTATATATATATGTATATATATATATTCATGATTTTATGAAATCTTCCAAACCTTCATTAAGGTTTACTTCTCATAACATTTTATCTTTATTTAATTACATAGTACAAATACAAATTTCTTATAACATTCATAATAAGTTCATATACCTTGAGCTAACTAAATCTCAATGTATATTCTACTATAATCTTAAATTCTCCTAAAAAAACTATGTAGAGTCATTGTAAAATTTATCTACTGATTAATCTCAAACACATGATTTGAAACTTAAATATAATCCACGCAAGACCAAGTTCTTATTAATCTTATTTTGAAATAGCAAAGAAAATTCAATTCCTGGACTATTATTTTCCAAATCGATGGTATTCTTTAAAATTGCAGGATTAACATGAATAAATATTTTCTTACCCAACATGATTACTTAAAGACAAACCTAAAGTTCCCACAATAATTAAGATAAGAGAAGCTTATGGTTTTTACCCTATACAAAACAAAGAGGAAGATGGAAATAGTTCATGTGAAGCCCCAATTTTCTTTGCAAAACATTGGGCAATTGACTTGAGACCTTATTTTGCTTCCGAGTCCTAGCCACAAGAATTGAACTCCTCATAATAGATTATGCCATTGATCCGGTTAACTCCTCGCGGAGCAAGTCATCGAATCGTTGGCTTCATGGCGCACGTTGAGTCTCCTCAGTCTCTCAGTTTCTGGTCTGCAATTTCCCTTCGCTCATCCTTCGTATGTGACACAAGCACTGCCCTGCAATGCCCTAACCATTCTCTCATTTTCCATATGGATTGAAGTCTCTTCTTGTTTTCTCCGCTACAGCTGCTCACTCCCTCTCTGTTTCTTGCGATGCCCTAAAATCATAATTCGGGTTTAAAGAGTTGGCAAGGCAGCGGGGGAGACCTGTTTGGGCTGATCAACTGAACCGGCTATTTCCAAACGAGGAAAAGAAGAAAAAAAAATTGGGTTATTACAGAACAATAACATTTACTAGATAATGAATCTGTGCATGGATTGAGAACTTGCTATTTGTTAAATATATTTCTTCATTGAGCAATTGGTAGCTCTTTATTTTTAAATTTTCCTTTCATCTTGAAAAAATGTATATTTTTTTCAATCCACATTTTTTCACCATGTTTGATCAATCATCTGCATGTAGGAGTATGTTGTTCCTCAAGAATATGTACATATTATGAGAACCTCCATGTTGAAAAGGTGCCCATTTTCCTCATATGATCAAGTGCGTAAAGTCTTAATCAAAGAGCTTGGAGGACTGCCTGAAGAAGTATATTCTCTTGGATCTCATTCTATTTTTCATTTGCCTTGCATCCTTTTGGCATATTTATCTTATATGGGTTTTTTCCTCATCCTCGGTATCTGATGCCAAAGACCTTCGTTTGGTATGAATATGGATTGAAGTTTTATTAAATTGCTTTACTGCACATACGTCTGAAGTACTCATCTTTCTACTTGTCTGTCAATTGCCAAACTTGTATTTCCAGATATTTGAGGAGTTTGATCCTGTTCCTTTGGCAAGTGCGTCTATTGCACAAGTTCATGTTGCTCGAACCTGTGATGGAAAAAAAGTTGCTGTAAAGGTTTACCATGATGCATTTCTTATTAAAGTTTTCATGATATGGTTATTTATTGATGTATTTATCCCCGGTTTTTTGAACAAAGTTAACTGTTATATAATTTGTGTCAACCCAGATATTATTATTATTTTGATGACAGGTTCAGCACACTCATCTTACCGACACTGCTACTGCAGATATTGCCACCGTGACATTGATAGTGAATGCCTTGAATTGGTGTTTCCCTGAATTTGATTATAGGTACTAATTGAAATGATTTCACAAAGTGATCCGAGGCTTGAAATTTCTGCTGTAACAATGTCATGTATGATGGATGTTTATGCAGTACCAACACAAATACATACATGTGCATATATTCTTTTGTATTCATTCCGGTGCAAGAACACTAAAACACATATTCAAACTTATAAATCTATCCATGCATGCTTGCGTTTGTGCATGTACCATCTTTCTACTGCTTTTAGATTGTGCCAATTCATTGTTATTAGCAAGAACAATTTTTTGAAAATTTTTAGTAGAAAAGATTGAAGAAATAAACTACTAATAATCTCTATGCTCTTAGTATACTAGCATTTCTACATCTTTCTTAAAGGTCATATTTGGATTGCTTTTTTTTTTTTTATTCCGAAGGCACGAATTCACATATCCATTGTCCATCTGATTTGTTGCCCTCATACAGAGGGTTCTCATTGTTGTCCAGAAAATAATGTGTAATGCAAGGCAAATTTGAATGATTTTAATTCTAAAATATAAATATGTATAGCTATCACTTAATTACATAGATTCTATAGCCTTAATCAGTATAATGATATTAATAGTGTATATCTAATGCTCGGTGATTCAGAAGCATCAATATGAAGGTTTGCAAAAAATGTGAGGAAAAGCTTTGATATGCTTTGTGTGCTCATGATTAAAATTTTTACCAAGAATTTGAATGACACTGATATTATTGGCATGAGATTTTTGAGATTATTTTAAGAAAAATCCAGTTAGATAGGAATTCATGAAGTCACATAATCCTAGAATACGCAGCTAACATATCATGATATTCTAACTCTATTTATGATTTAGCCGCATGTGATTTCTACTATCCTTTGTGAAATCAAAGTGTCTTTAAAAAACATACGACCTATGAAAAATCTTCGATTATAGGGACACAAGATGCAGAGAACGGCAGTTAGAATGAACAAATCTTTTTTAGGTGTCACACTAGGTTATCAAATGATTTGTTGAACAAAAACTAAATGTCATATTAGGATATTTGCATAAATTAATTAAGTCGTTGAGTAATGAATGAAATATTAAGTTGGGTACTTGTCAAATAAGTAAAATTACTTAAATGCAATAGGATCAAGTAAAAGATTACCTTAATTACTAAAAAACTTTGTATTTACTTCTAATGGAGTATTTGTAGGAAGAGTTTTTTGAAGGCTTGCCAAAAGAGTTAGATTATGTGTATACTTATCTGGTTTAAGAAAACAGTAGGGAAATTGGTAGAAACTTCCAAACTAAAGCATTAATGATATCAAGATTCTTTAAATGAAATGTAGCCTAAAGATGTTGTCTCCAACGAGTAATCAATATCTAATCCTTTAGAGTAATAACAATGTCATCAACTTAAATCGAAGAAAACTATACTGTTAAATGTCTCGTGAAGAATTAATGATGAGTTTATTGGTTTTACTTAAAGGGGGAGTGAAATGATGTTGTTTAGAATTTATCAAAAAACATGCTCTGGGGACATGTTTAATCCATATGAAGAACACTTTAGTTTAAATAATTTTGAAGAAGAGAAAACGACATGCGGAAAAACCATTTAATTTCCTCCTTTAGATCACCTTGAAGATGGACATTTTTAACGTCTACATAATGGTGTGGCCATCCTTGTGAAATAGCAATAGTGATAGTCTATAATTATTTTTCATATATGAATATATATCTTCATAGTCAACCCTATATATGTGTGTGTGTGTGTGTGTGTGTATTACCAAGGACAATTAAGCATGCCTTTTAACATTATAAGGTACCACCAGTGCAAAAAAGAATCAACTATATGTTGCCAATAGCTTTAACATTAGAAGGATAATAAACAAGCTCTTATATATAGTTATCCATAATGACCCGAAGCTCTTGTCATAATCATCTTTTTAACAATCATGTTTACTAGCCTTTGAATAATTTGAAGGCATTTGAATAGAAACATTATAGTGTGAAAGTAATACTATTTTGGAGGATGAGAGATTCTACATCATTATCTAAGCTAAGTATCCAAATTTCAATAAGTTGGCTCAGGATGATCTTGAACAAAGGCTTAGCATTTATCATAACAAGCATAACTTTAATGAGAAATATCATAACCCATAAATGCTTATTTAATTTATTGGCTGGGGTGTTTATGTCATTCACGGGGTGGTAGATAAACAAAATGGAAACAATCACACATTCATAACATGGTAGTTCAGATGCATATGAAAGAGACAATAATAAGGAGAGTCAACTTCAAGGCATGACAATGTGATCTATTAATTAGATCGATTTTCATGCCCAATACTTCAGCCCTTAATATAGGTAACAAGATTCAAGCATGAAAGCTCTAATAACTTCTAATAGAGACAATTCTTTAGTGCAACAACATCATTTTGTTGAGCTTGGTTATGATCACTGGGAGATAATTTTCTTTTATTGAAGATCATGAAATTCAAGTAACATTTATTCATACTCAAAATCAAATCTAAACATCTTGATGCTAGAGGAATATTAGATTTCAACATAAACTAAAAATTTTTGAATGAAAGATAATATTTTAGATTTATGACTAAGAATATAAACATAGGTGTACTTGCTGTAATCATCAATAAATTTCACTAACTATTTATAATTTACACGCATTTATAACTTTAGTAATACATTAGTCTCTATAAATCAAGTCAAAATAAATTTTCCTTATTTTAAAGATTGGTCAATCAAAAGAAGGATGATAAAAAAATTCAACCTTATCACATAATAAACTAGAGTTATCTAGTGTGATAAATAGGAAATATGTTGACCGAACCATTTGTGCCATATATTATCTTTTTAGTTACTGTAGTACGAGACAACGAGATGACCTCTTAAATAGGATAATGTAAGGGAAATAATCGTCCAACTTCAGGCCCCTACATGCATATCTTCCCTGCCACCTAATCTTACAAATTGCAACCATCATGAGAAAATTGAGCACCATAGATATTATTGATTAATTTTCCACTAAGCTATGATTGGCAGAAAACTTAGTCTCTGTAATATTAGTAGGCAATTGAGTGCCAAGATGAATAGAGTATGATAAATAATATGATGCAATATTATGAAGAAGGCATGAGCAGTTAGTCATATGTGTGGATGCAACAAAATTTATAAGACAAGATAAGCGAGGTAGAGGATCTGTTAGCCTAAATCTGTTGAACTATTATAAGAGTAAGAATTGATTAAGAAACCAATAATCTGATTGACAACAACTATTAATTTAGCATTTGATTGATTATTATGATGAAAAGTACAAGATTTTGTAATAAAGTACTCAAGCCTCTTACAATCATTGCAAATCTCTTATGCACATTTGATTGTAATTTATTTATATCTCTTGCAAATTAAGCATTGTACTTGTTCTATATTTTTTTGATTACTTTTTTTGTGGTTTGCATAAACCATTGCATCCTCTTATAATTTATGCTATTAGATGGCATTTTATGTTGCAAGGTATTTCTCTTTATAAAATGACACTTTAAAGCACACATATCTGGAAGGAGAATGGTCACAATGCATTCAAGTGGACGATGAAATTTTATGAAAAAAATGTTATTTCTTACTATTTTCATAAACCTCTTGAACAATAGAAAGAGAGTCAATAACTACTTTAGCATAACTCATGTCAACAAGCTCAATCCATAAAGTTTGTGTTGGTTTTTTGAAATGAGAAGGAAGAAAAAAACTTAGGAGAATTGTTGAAGATTGAAAGGAAAATTTGAACCACTCCTTTTGTGTAGCCTTACAATATTTTAAACCAAGAAAAGATCTAAAAATCAGCCAAGAAAGTAACAAGAAACAAAATTCAAGAAAAAATAGCAACTAACTTCTAAGATTAAGGAACAAACTAAATTCAAATAAACCTAGACTCAATAAGCAGTCCTAAGCATGTATTCCAACATTCCTCCTTGCTTTAGGATCTGCGAATACCAAGTTTCTGCTTTAGAAACTCAAACTTGCTGATTGGAAGTGACTTTGTAAGCAAATCTGCCAACTGATCTTCAAATTTGCAGTAAATCAAAGTCACAAATTATTCTTTGTACACTTCTCTTAGAAAAAATAACTTGATATTGAAATGTTTAGTGTTCCCATGAAACACAGGGTTATGAGAAATGACAATGGTACGAATAACGACATCATTGGTAGTCGATTGTATGTTGTCACCAGAAACCCAAATGAGTTTTGAATCACTTAAGCAAGCTTTATCGACATCGTCTTCCAAGTCCGCATGTTTCTTCATTGGCACCGTTTTGATGAAGCCTGAGTTTGACTCGGGTTTCTCTTCTAGCACTTGTTTTGTGGAACTTTGTTGCATTTGAACTTGAGATTGCAAAGCAGTCACAAATGTTAACAGATCCTCCTTTTCTTTTGTAGCGAACAATGCTTTTTCAGCGACATCTTTTAATCGAGCTTTCGCATATGCCTGTGAAACCCTGGTGCTTTCTTCAACTCGAACTACAACCGCTTCTAATAAAACAACATATTCTCTAGCTTTTGCGAGCTTAGAACACCAAAAATGTGCCTCTTAAAGAGCAGAGTCTCTCTGCTTGAACAAGATCTCTCTATCTCTGCTAAATGCTGCAATATTTTCTTCTGATTCTTTTAACTTAAGAATGGTTTCTTGAAGTTTTTTATTTGAATCATTGGTCAGTCGTTCAATTTCTGTGTAAGCAAGCCTCCTCTCTTCATCCATAGCAAGAGCTGCAGATGCAGCTACTTCAGCAGCCTGAGTTGTCTCAGTTAACTTGTCTTTTAACTCACGTATGGTTGAATCCCTTGCACGTAATTCTTTGGCCAATTGTTGAAGTTCTTCATCTTTAACTCGAAGTGTTTCCTTCATTATCGTAAGATCATCTAAATGACCTTCATTACCCTCATTAATCAATGAAACTTCTAGTGAGTGGACACGTTTTACAGAACTTTCATTGGGAAAAGAGTCAAAAACCTCCTGCTCCTGCAATGGATTGAGTGAAAAACTCCTCCCTACCATCTTAACTTCAAACATCCTTTGGCATGTAGCATCCTCTATCACACAAACCTTCTCCATAAACATCACTTTGAATCCATTTTCTATTAATTGACCAACACTGAGCAAGTTTTGATCAATATCTGGTACATAGAGAACATCGGTGATCAACTTGGTTCCTGAACAACTTGCAATAGCTACGGTGCCCTTTCTTTTGACTGCAATATATTCAACATTCCCAATTCTGACATTCTTGGACTCGTTGATCTTCAATTCTTTGAACAACTCCTTGTCATGTGTCATATGATTAGTGCAGCCACTTTCAATGAGTCAATTTTCACTAGTTTTAGAACTCGTGAAACAAGTTGCAATGAAAAGTTGGTCATTTTTTCTTGATCTGTCACTTGTGCTTCATCTCCTTGTTACTGATCTTTATTTTTGCAATTGCACTTTCTGCACTTTGCATCTGGTCTTCTCCAGCATTTGAAAGGAGGATGACCTTTCTTGCCACAATGTTGACATGGAGGGTAATCTTTTTTTACTCTAATCTTTTATTTTCAGTTTTGCTTCTGTTATCAGGTGCAGAGCTTTGTCCACTTGTAGCTTGAAACTTCTTGTTCTTGGGCCACCTATTCTTTTCATCATCTTGATACTTGACTGGTAGAGCTCCTTCGACAACTCTTTCTTGCCTCATTATACGTCTCTGCTCTTGTGCTTGTAAAACACTTAAGAGTTCTGTCAAAGCAATCTTTGACAGATCCTTCGTGTTTTTTAAGGTGGTGATGGTAACCTCAAATCTTTCAGGCACTGTTACAAGGATTTTCTGAACAATCCTTGAATCTTCCAGAGAAGAACCCAATAATTTGACACGATTTGCTATGTTGAGTAGTCTGTCAGAGTCCTAAGCATGTATTCTAACAGTTTGAAATCCAAGGAAATAGAACTTTGATGGAGAGGTTGCCTTACGTGAAAATAACATTCTCATATTCTATCTAATAATATCAAGTTACATTTCCTTGATTATAAACCTTTCATCAATACATGGCCCATAATTTAAGAATAACTGCTTGATCAAGAGAACTGATTATCCATTTCATGTTATTGCATCTTCAATTTCTAATTGAGCCATGTTTGAGATTCAACATGGGAGAGATTACGATCACTGTGCCCCCGCAATTTTTTTATCATGAAAAATAATCCAATTGAAATTTTCATATACTATTACTTTTATATGCGAGCCATACACTAAAAATATTTAAGTTGCTAGCTCCTGTTTGGCATGATGTTTTAAAAAAAGTGCTAATAATGAGTCCCGGAAGAGATGAATGTTGAGATAGAAGCCTTATGGAAAAAAAATGGTGTTGGAGAAAAAACATTGAGAATTGTTACCTCCACCTGACCCAATAAAAAAGTCCTTGGAATTATTGGAGTTAAAGGTGCACTCGAAGGTGACATTGGAAAAAAAAAGTAGAGACGAAGGCACTGTTCAAGGCGAACGCATTGGTGATATTGGTTTACATGAATTGCTGATTATACACTGAAATCATACGAAAGTACTGACAATGTTAGAATCTATTGTTGACATCAATCCTCATGAAAGCAAATATGGCGTTGGGTGCTAGAAGCAAGGGAGTGTTGAGATTAAGATTGATGTTGCTGAAGTGGGTATGGGTTGGGCATTGTTTAAGGGAATGAGGTTAAAGGGATCAATTGGCGCTATCAAGTTCAAGATGACTTTGATATCTTGTCAATCAAAGTCAGTAACTTCACTCTCCTCATTAGATATAAAATTATAGTTATTATATAGGGCAATATTTGAGTGATTCCAAAAATCAATTCTAGTTAAAAAAGGGCATAGTCATTCTAAAAAAAGTATTGGTTGACGTTTTGGGTGGCCTCCATTGTCATCAACTTTTTCTATGTTAAGGAGCCTTGATTGAGATTCCACTTTATCTATTTTAGCTTATAATGCACTGGTGCTCAATCACAATGTGTTATGTAGTATTTGATATGCACTGGTGCTCAATCACATATGTAGTTATTATACATGAAACGTGTGATATGCCCTTGACATGTATTGGGCCACCAGCCATGTCATTCATGTTTACAATTAAAAAGTGAAAAAATATTGAGCGCATGCATTGAACAAGTTTGACATGCATATCTTTAAATACAGAAGTTCAAAAACTTAAATCCATGATTGTTTATATCTTACTTTTATCCTATTCAGTCATTTTCTTTTCATGCGAGCACCTACTGCATCTCGTTGACAACTAGTGCATAAATACCGCAGACCCACAAGTCACCTGCTGCCTCATTTATTTTATGGGTTAGTTTTCATTCTTCTATCATTTTTACGACATATAATGTTCATGATAAGTAAGAAAATATTTTTTTTACTTCTACATACTTAAATATAATGAGTTTTTATATCTTTATAATGGTAAAATTTTACCTCATTTTACGTATTTTATTTAATTTGTGCAATTACTATGGATTGTTTTTATTTTTAAAATATATAAACTATAATGTCATGTCAAAAGTGTGTTCATGTCTTGTAATAGGTGTGTTTCGTGTTCATACGTTAGTAGTAGTATCATTTCTAATGGAATTTGCTGCCATTAGCGAGCAAATTTCTTCTTCAATTGAGCCCTTTTCACACGTAAATTCCATTTTTTTCTCTTACCCATTCAAACTACGATGCCAGTATTCTACCTCTGTTTGCCTAAAAGTTCCAAGAAGTTCCAATTTGGTCGTTGTTTTTGAAAATTCAGACCATTCTAAGTTGTTCCACCTTTGCCAAAGTTTTAACCGTAAATTGCACCTTAACAAATACTCATTTTATTTCCTTTTAGCATCTTATTGTTTGTGATTGTTGTTATTTGGTGACGCAGAAAATTTGAAATATTCACATGCAAGAATTTAGAAATCTGAATGCATCCATAAGCATGTAGTTTGCTTTCTTCTCATAGAATAAGCTATATATGGAATGTATAATTGAGTCTATACTTTCTCTCTGTCTGATATATACCAATATAATTTAGAGTAAACATATTTGATTGGGAGTGATTGGATTGGATCCTCACCTTTATTGCTTCAGCAATTTATTAATATTAGGTGATTGGTTGTCCTTTTCTATGCAAACGTCTTTGTAAGAATGGGAAGAAAGCTAAGTCTCCGATGGAACTATTTATGAGATCCATATATCTTTTGGATTTTTCTCGTATGATGATGTTCTAATGTATTCATATTTTCTATAACTTTATCATAGTATTCCTTTTCATATTGAGAAAGGTTTCAAAAACTTGCTTTGCCATTAAAAAAGGGTAATTGGTTTATACATTTAGATGCATATAAGCCTTTCTTTTTATGCAATTTCATGTTAAAATGCCTTTTTCGCATCACATGACAATTTAAAAAGATATAGCATAAATAAAGGATTATGTAAATAATTTTATAAATTTAAATAAATATAAAATAAAGATTCTATATAGTATGAAAATCCTATCTTTATATTAGAAACATATGAATTTTTAGTTACGCATACTTATTATACATTGCCCTTGCTAGTCTCTTGAAGTGGGCTTTACATCATAGGAGTTATTGTTATGGAACTACGATTGGACTATAGTGATTTTTTTTTTTTCCAGGTGGTTGGTTGATGAAATACGCGAAAGCTCACCTAAGGCAAGTATACATCATCATGTCTGTCTTTCCACGTCACTCAAATTTTCAATCGATTTTTTTTATAAAGATAGATTATGTGAGCTTTTCAGCTGTTGACTTAGGTTAATTCGATTTTGCCCTGTGTAACATTTGAGATACGTGTGAATGCTATATAGAAAAATAGTTTCACCTAAAGTGAATTTTTTTAGTTTTCATTAATATTATCTTCGGATTATTTATTTATTTAATTTTTTTTTTGTAGCTGATGATTATATAGCTGCTGTATTTATTTTCACAATTTTCTTGGAGGCTTATGGACACCAAATTTATGGTCTTAGAACTAATTAAAAAAATGTTAAAATTCTTGAAATGAATTGTAAATTGAATTTCGCTGATGCTAAGACCATGCTTACACTATAGAAAAAAATAGAAAATTGGCAGAAAAGTTATTTAGTAATACTGAGAATTTCAAGATGTAATATCTCACATCTTGTTTGTCATTCTGTTTCAAATTTTGCCATTAAATCCACCTTTTTTTGGCCTGATAGGTTTTAGAAACTTCTGAACGTAGACCATACTAAGATTGATTGTTCATAGGTTTAAGTTATGAAATCGACCACATTAAGTATTTGAGAACTACTTCAAATGAGCAAATGCAATTTTTGTTTTTTTTTAGTTAATCTTAGATCATGAAATATGTTTTTAGAAGTTAGAACCACATTTTTATTACCTCTGCTTTGAAACTGTAGAAAAATAAGGAATTAAATGCTAATTGGCCATCAAAGTTGAAGATTCATTTAGTTTGGACAACTATTAGCAGTCTTGTTCTGCATTATAAGGACTGTAGAGTATAACTCGATTAGTATTCCAACTGTGTATGATTTTCGGATTGTTTGTATGATTCTTGGATTGTTGTTGGGTTGATTTATGTGTGTTGTTTGGGATCTTGGTTATTACCTTTTCAAATATTTTTTCTTATGGATAATTCTATCACCTTTATTTCTTCATATTTTTTTTTTCTTTTCAAATTATGTAGTTAATGCTGTATTAATAACTTTCCTGCTCTTAGGAGTGAGGTGTTTTTTCTAAAATTTCCCTCTACTACTACTAGTGTAGCCGACCATCGTTTTTTTATTAAGAGAGAAAATACGAAGTTTATCATCCTCAATTTTTTTCTGTATGGGATCGGAGATTTTACCACCGTATGAAAGCACAGAATGGTCGTTGAAAGGCAAAGCTCTTCGTCTGCAGTTATCTCTAATTACGGGTGGTCAACCCTCATTTGAGTAGAGAGACTGAGAGCTGCATATTGCTTATCACTTGTCAAAAGTTGAATGATCACCATTGTCTCAGTGCTATCAATATCTACAGTGATGTTCATCTCTAGATTAAGCTAAGAAGACTAGCTACGATAAGCAGCATATGAAGTGTAGAAATTCAAAAAAAATTATGGCATCGCTTATGAACTTCATGACTAATGAGATATGAGAAAATTTGTAGTCCATTACACAACCAGAAAAACCTTTGATGTATCCTTGAAACTTATTACAGATCTGAAAGCTTATCACAATTATTTTCTAGTAAAAAGGTTCTTCATGAACTTCGGTAGCAAGACCTCACTATCATTAGTAAATTTCTCTGAGGCATCAATGGCAACAACTTGATCTGTTTGATGTACATGATTAAAGGTGTCCCAGAGATGGTGGATATTCATTCAAATCATTTAGAAGAAGTGCATTTGCAAGCTCTTGGTGGGGTTAAACATTGAAATGGTTGAAGGTTGTATGAGAATATTGGGTACTAAACTTTTCCTTGATGTCCATGAAGCCTTCTTGGAAGTATGTTTGAAGGAAGTTCATCATAAATAATGATAGTATCATTTAAATCCCATGATAAGGATTTGCTCTTTCTGTTTGTGATACCCTTCACTTTTCTATAATGAGTTTAGCACAAAGAAAGCAAAATTATGATGTGATCGCTATAGTAAATCAGGTCACACCCGAAAAAATTGTTGAAAGATCCATCGGAAATCTACTAATTGGAACCCACTTAGTTTTCCAAAGAGGATCATGAACCACTTGCTATAATTGCTACATCCATCGAAGTCCCGCCACCTGTGAACAAAACTATTTAACAAAGAGCAGCTTTCTTCGGAAATTATTATCTCAATCCCACAATAATAATGTACCTACCACCGACGTGACTTGTATATTTTCATTTTTTCGGACGGTTAATCTTATAATTTCTTTCAATGTTGTCAAGCAAGGCCCATAAATCATTGATTCAGATGCTTCTAATCATGTGATGAAAGATGTATCCAACTTAAATAATATTAAGCCTTGTAAAGGACTCACGATGAGGATTGTTGGTGGATCTTTATCTAAAATTATCAGAATATAATTTGTTTACATGCTATTTTTTTGACCCTCCATTCAATTTTATGGGTGCTAAATCGTAATTGGGATATTTGATTTGTGAGCTCACATGCAATCAACTTTTATTCTAAATTTCTTTTTAACAACTGCGAATTTTAGGTTTTGAATTTAGGGAAGATGATTGGTTGTGTCGGGATGTATTCAGTTCTCTACCTCAAATGTGGTACTCCTTTATGCACCAAGTTCTCAATGCCATAACTATCAGTAATAAAGGTAATAAACTTAGACTTTACCGTTATTGTCCTCGTCATCTTTATTTTTTGTATCTTGGGAAACTCTTTCTTTTGATATTTGTTGACCTCATTTTTGAGGTCTTCCTAATTCCTCATTAGAAGCCTAGGATCTGGCCATATGGCTTTCGTGTTGACTATCCTAGAATACTAGAAATGAGACCCAGACATTTAGAAATTCAAACCACCTCTTAATTCTTTTGGGAGGCCTCACATAGATGGTTTCAAGACATTCTCATTTGATTTAGTGGGCTAGGGCAACAAGCCATCACCATTTGGTTGAGTGGCTAGGAGCACAAGCTATCACTATTGGGTTGAGTGGCTAAGACCAACATGTGGAGGCCCTAAGAGAGCTCCCATAGGATCGAAAGGCCTTAGGAAATCCCTTCATGGCTTGGCCATGCACACATTCACACATAGATATGCACACATTCACACATTAGATATACATAAACACCACAATTCACGCATTCAACGCACATCAACATCGTGATCCACGTCAATAACACTTATGTATATTGCACCGTTAATTAAAGCTAAAATCAATTGCCAAAATAATCGATCACAAACTAAAATTTAAATAAAACTGAATGACACTTTTTTGACCTGATCGTCGACGAAGTTGTCCGAACGACCCCAGATGACGAAACGGACTGCACTGACGCGTCTGGAACGTCAATTTTTCCCGGGAAGGACAGTCATATTGCTAGGGCTTCGAGCACGAGCAAATAACACGTAAATTGATGCATACAACTTAAAAAAAAGTAAATAAAAAAAGAGGACTTTATTTAAAATGAAACGTTACAATTATTTTCAACTTAAAAAAAGGAATTAAGAGTAAACACAATCTCCTTCCAATTATTTCCAACCAAATTGTTATAAGAACTTTAGGTTTGTTCTTTTTTTTTTATTATTTATCAAAACTGAAACGTTACAATTCTCTTAAAGTTTTATTTGTTTATTTTTTGCTTTGTACTCTATTTACACTCTTGTGGTTGGAAGCCTGAAATCTCTCTTTTCTCTTGTTTCCATTAAAAATGAGTATAACAGGAAATAAAAACTGTGAGCTAAAAGGACGACTTTTCTTGCATATCTCCCTTTCATAAATGAGATTTGACACCCTCGAATCTTTCTCTTTGACCTTTCATCTTCTCATCAAGTAAGCTAATCATAAACCCAACAAGAGTAGTGGTGTTATTCCAAATATTACAGATTGTGATGACTCTTTGGAAATATAATTGTGTCATTTTTGACAAAAAGCAGAAAACAAAGAAGAGTCATCTAGACTTTTAGTTGGCCAAATGGGTGCATTCTCTATTAGATAGGGAAAAGTTATTGATTAGATTGAGGCTTAAGGTGCATGTGATCAAATGTACATTTCAAAAGTAATTGGGTTTTTCTATGCATTTCAAAAACTAGCAAAATATAATCATCCCAAATGTATAACAATGATTGCTCTGACTTTTCCATTACTAACTGATCCTTTCTTTTTGATGAATAATAAAATTCATCGATGTTTCCATGCTTTGCCTGATTTTTTTTTGATTGACACTTATCCGAGGGCTAATATGGTTGCTTGGCATTAGAAAAATGTTCTGAAAGATAATGAAGTTTATTGAATCCATCATTTAAAAGAATATTACTAGAAACCCAGATTTTTTTATCAAACAACGCAAACCACTTATATTTAGCTCTCACAGAAGTAGCATTTCATTTTTATGTCTCGAAAAATGAGTGAAAATCAAACCAATTTCTAAGGCATGTTTTTCACCTACAAGCAACCTTAAGTGTAACTTTTCTGAATTTTAAGTTTTGATGATATTCTTTTAACCATAATATGTTTTTTAAATTTTATAAAAAAATTCTATCTTTTTTATTTTTTAGGTTCCAGGCATTTTTCTTTATTTATTCTGCTTTGATGTCCTACTTTATAAATCATGTCATGCTGGACAATGATTTTATGAGTACCATTATAATGCTGATATAGAAACTTATCTAATTAAGAATGACTTTGCCAGGAATTGGATTTCTTGTTTGAGGCCAGGAATAGTGAAAAATGCTTGGAGAACTTTAAGCGGTTATCTCCTCATATTGCTGACTATATATATTCCCCAAAGGTGTATTGGAATCTGAGCACATCCAAAGTTCTGACTATGGAATATATGGATGCAGCGGAAATAACTGACTTAATTACCATTCAGAAACTTGGGATTCAACTTTCTGATGTTTCCAAACTAGTAAAATCAGATAGCCATACTTTGTGATATAGTTTTTGGGCATGGTATCTATTTATGCTAAGTTTTCCTCAGAAACCATGCAGGTTAGCCAAGCTTTTGCAGAAATGATATTTAGGCATGGATTTGTGCACTGTGATCCACATGCTGCTAACATGATGGTCCGCCCTTTGCCATTTGGTAGAAGAAATCTTTTTGGTAAGAATGTGAATTAATTGTTCTTTCGACCATGTGGTTGAAATGCAGAAAACATGATTTCCAATTTCTGAATTCTTTTTCGAAATCATAGCAAATTACAATCCGGCTGCTAAACCATGAATATGCTTGTCCAAATGTCTTAATTCTTCATCTTCCTTGAGATTTTCACAATTCCCTTTTTTAAAAGAAAAAAAAAATATAGGGTTATCTTTAGGAGTTTCAAGAAGAACATTACCCATTTTATTTCATCATAGAAAAGTCAAATTGTGGTACTTAGGCTTCAAAAGTTTGCGCCCCAACCTCTTGCGAGAAAGTTTCTATGCAATTCCTAGCCAAATTTGCATAAGATAGATTATATTTGAGATAGTATATTACCTAAATATTTATCACTCGTTTTGCAATGACTTGAAAAATTTGGTTTGAGATTTTTTAAAAGTAGAAACCCTTTTGAGTAATTATCCCTCTTGATGATAGGAGAAAGCCGTCAAATAAGGTGCAAATAGCTTGGCATGTAATAGTAGCAATTAGTTTTGGATTGAAAATTTTGCTTTTTTTTTTTATCTGGAAAGTGAGGAGAAGTAATGACAAACCCTACCAAGATTTTATTCTTATCTCATATACTAAGAACCAGTTCTGTAAGTTCAACTTATCATTGTATTTTGATAGTATAATTCTAATGAAAGATTTTATTTTTGAAATAAAGTTTCTTTGTAATAGGCTTTGTATGCCGCATGTAAATGGAAAATAAAAATTTATTCCTTCCCTTCACGGTTAAAATGTTAACTTAAAATATTATGAATTTTTCTTTTTGTTGATATTACGATTGTTCATCAAAAGGCAGAAGTCTTTTCAAGTCTGGTGAGGGTCAAACCACAAAAAATGAGACTTTACCTTGTAGATCAGACGACTCGGTCACTCACTCAAGAGCTTTATATTTTTTAAATTTGAAGTTGGGTTTCAAAAAGAGATTTGAATACATGTTCTACAAAATATTATTATGGTTCTCAAATTGACATAAATTTTGCATTCATTTAATTTTTAGTCGCGCAGCATTCTCACTCCTATATATTAGTGTTTAACATGTTGCATATGCGACTATTCAATTTTAAAAGTTTTAAATAAAATATGAAGAACATTTTGAGTCGAAGTAAAATTTAATTTAGCTTAATCTTTTTGTATAAGTTCAAGCATTTAGTACGTTGGTTGGAGCTTATGTGTCAATCATTAATTCTTGAATTAAAAAAAATAATTTATGAATTTCTTTAAAATGATTGTGCTTTTCTTAGACAAGCTTATCGGTGTATTTATGAGAGTGCACACTAAACAAATGACTTATTTCCAAAGGAAAAGCATAAGCTTGTAATTTAAATTTTTGTTGTCCTTAAATCATGCTATTTTATTTGGGTTCAGTCCAGAATTCATTCAGAAATTTATAGAATTTTGATAGTTCTTAATGTATCAAGAAAATCTATTAGCTCTCTTAGGCGGGCGGCCAAGTCCTGTCCTTATTCATAGCGAGCTTCAAAATCTGCTATAACTCCTTTGTAAGGCTTGTTTGCCCTCTTGTGGCATAGATCTTCTTGAATGTCAATTTTATTTTCATTTTTTATACCTGTTAAGTTTATTTTATTTGTCGCATTACCAAGTCCATAAATCCACTTGCATTATTCTTTGAGTTCTTTGCAAGCTCATTTTAACTGTAACCATACATGGGAGGATGTTTGGGAGGAACCCTAGGCTTGCTTACTATACTTAAGGAGGCATGCATGGTCAATGTCACGTGACATTGCGACCAGAAGTCTTTGAGCCCGTCTCACTTAAAAAAGCAGGCTAGGCCTTCAGTCAATGTCAATGTCATGTGACATTGCGACCAGAGGTCTTTGACCAGAGGTCTTTGAGCCTGTCTCACTTAAAAAAGCAGGCTAGGCCTTCAGTCAATGTCAATGTCATGTGCAATGTCATGTGACATTGCTTGACCAGAGGTCTTTGAGCCTGTCTCACTTAAAAAAGCAGGCTAGGCCTTCAGTTACATGTTTGTGTGTGAAGATTGATGTTGTTGCTATTGTAGATTGATTATTTTTGCTGTTGTTGAATATCAAATTGTTGCTGAAGCAGGCTGATTTTGTTCTTATAGACGACCAAATTGTTATTGCAAGAATACTGATTTTATTATTGGAGTTCGATTTGAATTTTCTTTTGCAACTAATTTGCATTTTCTGTTGTAGACAATTTGTACCTGTTAGAAAACTCTTAAGATGAGTTAGTCCTGTGGCAAAATGGGCCAAGTTTCCAGAACCGCACACATACAACTTCAAATCCTACTGATTTTAAATCATGTTTCTTCCTTGTTTTTAACTGAAGGCGTTGTCAGTTTGAAGACTCCTATGATGAGATTTTGGAGAAGGTGGGTTAAAGTTTTTGAGGTAGAAAGGGATGGGTTACTATTGGCAGCAGCTTGCTGGAGTTGGTAGTTTTAGTGCTCGATGGCAATGAGAGAGAAATTTATGAGGTGGCTGTTGGAGGTGAGGTTATCAGTGTAAAGAGGTTTGTGGGATAAGGAGAGAGCGGGAGAGGGAGCTCGACAGTAGAAGTTGCAGTTGAGTTTTGTATGGTTAGGAGCGGAAAAGGAGGTGAGGAAATGGGGCTTACCATAGCAAAGAGGAGGCGACTGAGCCACCAAATCCAAGCCAGCTTCCTGCATTTCCCTATTTATCGGCCTTTCTCATTGGTGACCGAGCCACCAATTGCAATTCAGGTAAAATGGTGGAGAAATGGGGTTGAAGATTCTGCAAGAACTTGAAGTTGTCCTTTTTGTATTCTATAGGAGATTTAAGTTGTTTTTTTTTTGTTGTTTTGGTTAAAAGAAAGAGAATGAAAATATAAAAAAAGAAAAAAAGAAGGATTAGAAAGAAGAAAAGAAGAAAAAAGAGAAGTGAGAAAAACAGGAAAGAGAAATAAATAATTAAAGAAAAGGGAGTTGTGCATATCTTGTTGTCGCCAATGCATCCCATGTGAACAAATAAAAGGGCAGGCTCACCATGTTGTTATAAATACACTTACATCTTATACTTGACAGGGCAAAAGTTTAACTTGTAAATCATTTTGCATGTACATCCTTACTGATAGCCAAAATAAGTGCTCTTACGCTTTGTACTTCTCGCATTGTGGAAATAGGCTTGTAGACTTTCATTCAGTTACATGAAAAAACATACGTGCATTTCTTAGGCTCTGTTTGGCACAGCTGCAGCTTCTCAGTTTTTCAGCTGCAGCTGCGTTGCCTCAGGAAGTTGCTGCGGGGAAGTTGGGTGTCTGTTTGTTGCAGCTGTGTAAAAACAGTTGTGGGACAGCTGTTTCTGAAAAAATGACCATTCTGTCTCTGTTTAGTGAAGTTGTTTAAAACAGAACTATGACAGCGACATATTTGATATTTGAAAAGCAGATATTCGTTTCAAAACATAACAGAAGTACAAATACACCACTCACTTAACAGTGAGTATCAAAAGCAGAGCTTGTTCTTATATTTACTCAATTACAATAAAATAAAATAACCATAGCAAGGAACAGGATCATTTTCAACATTACAATTAACTTTGCCACCTTTATAGCTGCTAAAATGGGGATTGGATTTGAATCAGCAACACTAGTTCATAACCTATATATCAAACAAACCTTCAAAAAACATCACAACAATTAATTCATAAGAATGTAGTTGGTCAAACTCCATTTTATATTGATTTCATCAATAATTTATAAGATTTCGCTAAATATTGGCATAGCGCATTATTCATTATTTCTTATAATTCAAAGAAAAATGGACTTAAAAAATAGAGTACTGACAAAGCTTGGTATAGCTATAAATCTTTGCTAAAATTTCTTAAACGACGTTTGCTAGTATTTTACTTATGTTCCATAAGTCAAGTATGATCAAGTATGATAAACCTGATAAGATGATAAACCTGATAAGAAATCATTAATGCACATGAGAAGTGGAATTGGTACCATTCGTATTATAAGGGCTGCAAGTTGAATTCAACCTCAAATAGAAAAGATTGTTTTCAGTAGAGAGATGGAATTGGAATAAAATACCAGTGAAATGCATATCCAAGAATTCTTGGGATGGTGCGTGTATGAAGAACAGAGAAATGGGATAAACCACAAAAAATTATTTGAGAAGATTAGGGCAAAAGAAAAATTTGAGAAGATGAAACATTAAGGCAAAAGAGGCATAACAGATCCAAAACATCCATAAGACAATGTTCTTACCGCTGCTGCTGCGAGGATGATAATCCGGACTGAATGAGAGGAGGACGACCTTCGGAGAAGAGGAGGAGAGGGGAGATGTTTGTTGCCTGCGAGGACGAAAATCCGGGCCGTATTTGTTTCGGATGGGATAACGCGAGGAAAGGGCACGGAGATAAAAAGCAGGAAGGCAAAGCTGGGACGAGGGTCCGTGAGCGCTTTCCGTGTTTGGGGAATATCACGGCAGGACACAGCGGCACCGCCGCCCCAAACGCCCGAAAATAGTGGTGTCACGCCGCGCCGCAAGCTTGTTGCTGCTCCAAATAGAGCCTTAATGTTGTGTAGAATATTTCAGTCATAGTATCTCAAATGCCAATCATATATGTCTTTCTTAGCATTGTACGATCTGGCATCCCTATAAATGGTCGTTGCGTGGGGAAGGCATCGGGATGCTATCAAAATTTTGTTGATTAAGGGTGCGTTTGAGGGGACTTATTCGCAGCTTATGCGCTTTGAAAACACACTTAAGGCGTTTGGTTTTTGCGGTTTGAGTGTGTCCCATGAAACACATTTGGTAGCGTTTCGATCTTTTTTTACTTTTCTTACCCCTTGGCGTTGCCTTCCCCAGCTCGTGCCCTAGGTAAAAAATTCCGATCGCTCGTGCTTGCTCTCTCTGACTCGTCTTACTTTTCTCTTCCTCTTCTCCCTTGCGATCTACCCTCGCTGCGCTCTGTAAGTACTTACCCTTGGTTTTCTTGTTT